CATGGCCGCCATGTCTTTGTCGTTTGAATAATTTAATTTGTTTCCATGTGACGTCATCACCGACATGTTGGTGTACGTTAACGAAATAGCTCATTTACGTCGTTAAAGATACGTAACTTTATTCTGTATGATGTGATGTCACTTAGATGTTACGTTGCTAGGTTACCAAAACATTTTCACTCGGTTAGCTGCATAACTAAGTGATGCATAAGCATTTTAAGGTTAATATTAGAACGCTACGTTGCTTAGCGACCATCTTTTGTGTTACTTATGAAAGGTATAGATCCTCCCTTGCAGCACGTCGGAATGCAGCTGAATTGGGAGGACATAAAAATAGGTTTCCAATTCTCATGGGATTGGAATTATTTTGTTTTGTCCTCCAAATTGAACTGCTTTGACGTCACATGCAAGGGGTCTACTGTCTAATCTTCATCGCTTTTTACGTTTTGTTTTCTAGTTGGGGTATTTTTAAAAACCTCCGAAACGTTGATAATTCTAAAGCTTATTGTTGATATTTTTACGTAAAACGTGATGGGCTGACGTTTAAGCTTTTCCTTATAATTGTGAAGCTGCAAGTTATATAAAACACGCTATTATTGTTATCAAGATAAAGATATTTTTACGATTAATTATAATTTTAGCTTGACTTACTAGGAATGCTTTTCAGCTTTGTTTGAGACCGCGTGTCATTCCCTTCATTATTATTTTATTTACTAGGAATGCTTTTCAGCTATGGTTGAATGCAAGGTTTTTCCATTTCAGACCATGTGTCATTCCCTTGAGTATTACTTCTTTCTTTACTAGGAATGCTTTTCAGCTATGGTTCAATGCAAGGTTTTTCCATTTCAGACCATGTGTCATTCCCTTGAGTATTACTTCTTTCTTTACTAGGAATGCTTTTCAGCTATGGTGCAATGTTTTTCCATTTCACACCATGTGTCATTCTCTTGAGTATTATTTTTTCTTTACTAGGAATGCTTTTCAGCCATGGTGTAATGTTTTCCCATTTCAAACCATGTGTCATTCCCTTGAGTATTATTTCTTTATTTACTTTGAATGCTTTTCAGCTATGGCCCAATGTTTTCCCATTCCAAAAAGGTCCAAAAAACCGAAATCAAAAAGCAATTCTATAAAGATTTTTCGCACTTCTTCTTCACTACGGAATTTTGTATCCAAAAAAAGTTCTAATTGTTTGAGGTGGTGCTTAATTAGAACACTGAGAATTTTTTTTTAAAACAGCTTTATTTGGAAACTAATATTACTGTGCGTTGAATAGAAAAAACTAATAGTTACCCAGAAAGGAAAGTCACGAACGGGACACGAGACCCATGCGAGGTGACAACCTCATGAAATGTTGAAATAACGTAAAGATATATGCAATAAATATAACATTGTATGTAAAAATAAGTTCATTAAGATAAAACTAGTGTACTTTATGAGGTTAACCTCTATAACAGATATTTTGATTAGTAGATATTGTGAGCAGTTGTACCCGGAAATCACGACTACATCACAGCTTTTAAAAGCGATTTTGAAAAAAATACTATATTTATGCCTGGAGCTGTTGCGCAATCCATTCGTGATGTATTCCGCTTCTTCTAGATCAGTCTAGGCGTTGCGGGCAGCCAATATATGTCAATTGGCCTTGTCATCAACGACTATATTTATGCCTTGGGCTGTTGCGCACTTCATTCATGATGTATGCCGATTCTATATCAGTCTTGGCGGCGCGGCCAATATAAGTCAATAGTCACTTTCACAGTTCCCTGCGCCATCTTGAAAGGTATAGCCGTGCCTTTGCATCGAAGCGAGACATGTTTCATGTGACATGTGAGACAAAATTGCTAAATGGGTTTTCAGTCTGGAGTTCATGCTTCATTAGAACAACTCCAGAAAACAACTCTGGAGCTCATGCAATCAAGAACAACTCGGAGCAAATGATCAAAGCAGAATTGTAATAATTGTCTTTTTTATCTAAAGCTCTTTGACAAGAGTGAAAATAAGTCTTGAAATAAGTCCCTAACAGTCCAACCATGAGATTTTCACAATGGCTGCCAAAAGTCTGAGGGGTGCCCCAACATATACTTCAGGGGCCACAGGGAGCCCAAATAACTAAATAACACTTATTGCAACAAGAATAATGAAGGATGCATCAAGCTGGCTAACTACTCTACAATTAACGTCAGAAAACTTCAACCTGAATAAGAGAGAGTTCTATGATGTCCTCAACCTTAGATATCGTTGGAAACTAAAGTACCGGCTTCAGTCAATATTGCCCCTGTGAGAAAACTTTCAGAAACGTGCTGAGAATTAGCTTGTATGGTTAGTTGTAAAGTGAGTTACTAGTAAAGGAATAGAGAAAATAAGAGAAAAATATCAAATGCCCTTGGCGGGAATCGAACCCACGTCTTCGGTATTCCAGTTCCAGGAACTAGTATTTCTGAAATACGTGGGATTTATTTGTTTTGCTTGTTATTCTTAAGAGATATCATTTTAATTCAAAAGCCTACTTCACTTGACCTTTGTATCTCGATATTATAAAGACCATTAATATACTAATTATCCTGATTCTTGGACTGAAATAATTGCTCTGGGTTTTCAGTCTGGAATACATGCATCAGTAGATCTTTTCACTTAATATTATTCTGTAAGGTTAATCTAGAATAATTGCGCTAACATTATGTAATATCGTAGTTAACATGTTTTGTGTATTACTCTTGATAAAAACAATTGCAAATGACAGCGTCTAACTCGAAAACTAAGTGTTAAATTAGACATTAACTAATAACAAAAATATGAGAAATGAAAAATGTGATTAAGCGATTGATTAATTAAAAGCTTAGTATTTTAAAAATGTAAAAAAGAATGTAAATAAGATATTGTATTTGTATTTGTATTCGTATTTGTATTTGTATTTGTATTTGTAATAATGATTCGGCAGCAAAAAGTAACTTTAATACAAGTTAAAACTCGTATACTTAAATAATTTTATGATAACTTTTTAAAAAAATTTTAATTTAAATTTTATAACTTTATAATTTTTTAAACATTTTAATTTCTTAAATAGTTTTAATTTGAATACAATTTAAAACTTGTATACACAGAAAAAATACACAGGTTTGGCATCCGATGCATACCGCAGTTTGTGAAGACTACAGACTCATCTGCACAATTAATTATAAGTCAGCTATTCACAGATACCATTAAAAGTCCATGGGATTTCAAAACCCATGGACTTTTAATGGTATCTGTGAATAGCTGACTTACATATTCTTCGTTTGCACGTTACGTCATCGCAGCCATGTTGGTGCCATTTAACAAAAGATTTCTCATTAGCATCCATTGTGAACGGCACCACAATGGCCGCCATGCTTTGGTCTTTTAACTCTCTTGGGAATGCTTGCAATCCATCAATTACAGTTGACTTCTGCAAATTATTTTCTTTTAATTAAACGAGGCTTAGCCTGTGCAGGAGAGTCTTCAGTCAAAATACAGCTGCATTTACCGAATGAACAAAAGGCTTACTGGACACTTGGTTTTTGACGAAATATTCAGCAATAGACCATTCCCTATTTAAGGAATAATATTATAATCATATTCTTTGCACACTTTCTTTGATCAGTTAACTAGCACCAATAGACCTCTTTAGCTTGGGGTAATGTTGTTCCCTTTCAGACCACGTGTCATTCCCTTGAGAATAAGATTCTTTGTTTGAGCTGTATCCATATTTATGTGTCTTCTTATGTGCAACCGAGCGCAAACCTTAAACAGAGGAATGCTACTTTAGGGAATGACGCCGAAGAGGTCTATTCTCTTACTATTCTCACGAGGGAAAAAAGGTTAAATAAAAGGAAAATTCGCGAAGCATTTTTGTCGTGGTATTGAAATGACGGCATTTTGCAAACAGCCTGTTCTCAAAGGCTTCAGGGGTAGCCTCTTACTATTTACATATTCCAGTGAAGGTGGAAGTGTTTGTATTGTTGAGGTTGTGCATTCGTTACTTTACCATTGGTATTTGTTAAAATTCTGACACTGATAAGAGGCTATTCTTGTGTAAATGAGTCTGTAATCAAGGAACACAGCGGAACTTGTCTAATCAGGAAAAAAACGTTTATTTAAGTAGAAGAAAATAATACTCAAGGGAATAACGATATTTTGATTCTTCTAGTAGGAAATTGTTAAGTCGAGTTTATATTTGATTGCACTGAGCATGCGCATCTAGTGTGTGTAAACTTAGACAAACAAAGCCCTTTCTTCGTCACGTGTGTTCGGCCGCAATGACGGCATTAGTCCACCAGACTTGTTGTGCCTTGTCTGATTATAGTGTCGTGCTCAGGCAAACTGATTGGATAGTCACTAAATTTCAAATACCGTGATTGGTTGAAAGTTATGTCATCGAATTCAGTGAAGCGCATCTATCACAAACATATATGAAAACTACCCTAACTCTTATATATGCTCTCCAAGGTGCCCATTAAACGACCCTATCTCATGGAGCTTCAAACGTCTCAGAAGATTTTAAGAAGTTGAAGACTTACTCTTACAAAGACGGGAGTGGAAGCGGAAGAAAACTGTTAAGCTTCTCTCGGACAAATTCAGGTAACATAGAATTAAAGACATATACAAATTAAATGTTTCCATAACCTAGGATCAATTAGTTTTAAAAGCAATTTTTACATAGTTTCAGTTTCAGCTTATTTCATCATTAGCGTCTATATATCTGTTATAARTATTTAAGAMTYAATGCTAATADTTATTAATACATTACAATCATACACATATACATTTACAATRYWTYWWMATATTTCATAAGTTATATCAAATTATTAGAAAAAGAAGAAAATGGAATATGTGTATATGAGGAATACTTAAGCACATCTTAATACAACGGTGGTTCTATTCTTTACATTGACTAGATATTTATTCAAATGCTGTTATTTCTTTTGCTGAAACAATCATATATATTCTTTGTTACTATTTTTTGTATTGATTTCTTTGGATTTATGATAAAAGCAAATTTGTCTTCGTTTTTCAACCAATTTTCTATTCGTAGTTATGTTATATTTTCAATCTTATCAATAAGATATTTTCTTTCTTTATAATAATTTGGGCATATGTTAGTAGGAAGTGTAATTCACTCTCGTATACGTTGGGTTTCAAAATATGTCTTGAGATACCTAATAAGAGCTTTCGTAAAAAAAATAATATTTTTTTCAATCCTTTATTTATTTATTTATTTTTTTGGTAATGGAAAAAACCCAAGCATACTCAACTTGATTGCCAATTATTTTCATATCCTCTAATTCATGCCTATTTTAGTTTCTAACATTTTCAAGTATATATATATTTTACTGGAAAAAATTGAGACTATTTTTTAAAAATTTCGGCCCCTTATACTTAAGCTTCGACTTATTTTACTGGCAGTACTACTTTCACATGTAGCGACCAACTTCAATTAAGAAAAAGTTTGTTAAAGTTGGTGAAACATGGGCTCACCGCTAGACGGTTGTGATGACGAAGTGGCGGTGACTCGGAAAAGACCGAAGATTTGATAGCTTCGATAATTCAATCTCACAGATTGAATTCTGAAACAACCTCTGGGCTGATCTAAGTCAGGGCACGGCTAACTCACAGATCCAACCCTGAAACAACCTCTGGGCTGATGTAAGTCAGGGCACAGCTAACTCACAGATCGAACCCTGAAACAACCTCTGGGCCGATGTAAGTCAGGGCACGGCTAACTCACAGATTCATTCAGTGAGAATTGGCATTCAGCAAATTCATACTTTTAAAACTGAGGTCAAATTTCGGATTTCTGCTTGATTATTTCATGAAGGGTTTTTAATATATTTTGATTCTTATTTTTTGGTTGGCTGCTCAGAAAAGTAGTCGGAAATTCCAACACGCTAAAGCACTTATAACCTTTTTATTCTAGAAGTCACGAGATTTCCTAACTACGTCATACCAGTCTAATTTTGGAACTTTAATTGCTAACAACGTTTGTAAGTTCAAATTAATCTTCTCTCTTAAAACGATACTCTAACATAAGTACTGTGATATTACTTCAGAGTAGAAAGATATAATATATAAGATTTAATTTAACGATGAATATTACGGGTAGTGACATAATAAATCAACGTTTCAGCGTCAAATCGATAATTTTATCATGCTTGATAAGATTTGATTATCCGAGAAATGTCTGATTCTGAGGGAAAATTTCTAGAAGCAAAATTCAAATCACTGGCGGCGATAATCGAAACCGCAATTGAAAATCGAGGAATTCTGATTGATTGTGTTTTGAAGAAACTAGTCGGCCGCGGGTGCTAAACCTCGTTTGGCCTCTCAATTTCCACCTCGAGCTAGATTATTAATTGAGAATGCCAATGGGGTAGTTGTTAACTGACATTTGGCCATAAAAAAATAAAAAAAACAACTGAAAAAATAACCTAATATTGATTATTTATCTATATACAGCTAATTCAAAAAACGTTGTCATCGCCAAAGGCGATAGTCGATAGGTCATTTCGACATGGAAATGGTTTCGTTGAATACAAAGAACATCGAATGATCTCAGCACTAAGGTCCATACTCTTGACGAGAATAAGAAGCAGAAAAACAAGTCATTCCAGTGCACGCACTAAACCCGTGAAACAAATACTAACTTTTATTTAGTACTAAATGGTGATAAATAAACAATAGAAAACAAAAGATTCTGTATGAAAATAGTGCTAATAATTAATGTTCACGGAATTAGTGCGTGCACTCTAGTAAGGAATAATACGCACTACGACACAATACGAGTTGATTATAATTCCACGGGTTTTGGATGCATGGCTGAATATTATAACGCACAACTGAGGCTAAGGCTGAGCAAGAGAGAATTCGAAACCGATTAGTTTACGTTTCTATTCTTTTCTTTTCTTTTCTTTTCTTTTCTTTTCTTTTCTTTTCTTTTCTTTTTTGTTCCGCCATTTTGAAAAATACAAGACCCAGAGTGCATAGCGGGCAAACAAGTCCCAGTCCTACGCGATAAAAACACTCGTGTACAGAATTCTGGGTAATTTTCAAAATGGTGGACAAAAGTATGAACAAGAAATATAAGTAAGTAAATTGAATAAGTTAATTATTTATTAATATAATCATTGTCGTTGTACATCTTACTTTATTGTGTTTATATTCTCGTAGAACTTGTGATTTTATTACAAAAAAATTAATATCAGGACCATAAATTTTGACAGCTTCTTTTAAATTTTTCCACAATTCATTCGATTCAACTTTGATATTGAAAATCTTGAATATTTGAATTTTACAATCTTACTTCGTTTTTTATTTTCCATGTTTCTAATCATTAATTTAAATTATCTGATACTCAAGGTTTGAGCCTTTTTCATGTGTTTTAATGCAGTGACGTTCTGTGAAGGAATTCAAAAAGTTTGTATTGTTCAAATTGTTCATTCTTAAAAAATCCTCTGCTCGCAGGGTAGTTCATTCTTCACTTTGCCGAACGTTTAAGGAGAAGTTCACGGTAGAATACTGTATTCCTGTTTCACAGTTCTCTAATTTTGACTCTTCTTCATGGATTTACACGTCACTGCTACAATTGTTGAGAATATCAAATACCGAGAATAGAGGCTTTGCACCATCATGTGAAAATCTTGAATAACAATAGATATTCAAATTGGTCGCCATATTTTCATTTCAAGCGTTAACTTCACTCTTAAATCTCTAATAAGTCCTAGCGGAACTAATGATAATCATATAGACCAATTTCAAAACTTGCACCGATGTGAGGCTTAAGTTGTTAACAAAGGGATCTGGCGTGACTCAAAGTAATCTGGCGTGATTCAAAAGTCACGAATCACGCCAGATTACTTTGAGTCACGCCAGATTCCTTTGTTCACAACTTAAGCCTCACATCGGTGCGAGTTTTGAATTTGGTCTATAGCTGTGGGTATGGTAGTGATAGTGGCGATGGTGATTGTCGTGATTATATAATTATGATCGGATGGTGATGATGAGACTGTATAGATGACGTAAGTAAGGGAAAGTATGTCTTTTTTATTGGGGGGAGGTCTGGGGGAATTGAAGTAAACTATTCAAACATGGTTATAGCCCTCCCCTCCCCCATTTCATTCAGTACGAAGTTCATGACCCTCCTTTTAAGTCAACAAGGAAGCAGCTTTCGTCAAAATAAAAAGGTTTGGTTAATAATTAGTGGTGATGTTGTTATTTATGACTTTATGGAGCTATAATGATAGCGATTGAGATAATAGCGATAGTAACGATGAAAATGAAAAATTGCGGGCCACAAGTTTAACATCTATTGTATTCTTGGCTTTTACCTACGTCATCGAAAATTTTTACAAAGACTTATATACAACAAAACTTCCATAGGCCGAAAGAGCAAAGAAAACTGTATATCTCAGACAAAGTTCTAGCTAAAAGAAGCTTAGTTTAGATAAGGAGACACGAGTGATTGATTATACTCACAATAAGCCTGAAGCGAGATGACGTTTAACCCCCGTCTCTAGACCATAATCCTTTTCACACTGCTTTTGGTCTTTAATTATGACTAATGTTCCTGTATTCTCTAAGGAATCAAAAATTTTAATATGAAAGAATTTTAAAAGCTATTATGGTATAGAGTCGGGGGTAAAACGTCATCTCGCTTCAGGCTTATTTAGTTGATATGTCTGGGTCCGCCATCTTTGCGTCCTATTGAGAGGCACAAAGATGATGAAGGCCAAATCACGAAGCTTGAAAATGATGTTTATCTTACAATCACTTAGTAGTGTATTGCTCACCTTATAATTAAAGTATTATTATTATTTAGTAAAAATACGCAGGTGATTATCGAAAATCTCGCGCGCTGATTGGTCGAGAAACTCA